AGATACAGTCCCCACAGTAGTTTGTGCTGGACAAGGCCATCCTCCATAGCTGTCAGATGCTGGATGATGCTTTACAGTATATGCTAGGATTTTAAATTTGCTGGGCTCAGTCACAAAGGTTAAACCTTACGTACTATGTTTTTGAGCCTAATGAGAGATCAGTAGATGCTTGGCTCGGACATAATTTATTTGTTTCTCAAGCACTGTTATTGCCGACTATAAATCAAAAGCTCATTGCTGTCAGAAATGCCGTTCCGTCACCTGTGGCTTAATGACAAGCCTGGCTCTGTGTGTGTCAGATTTGCAGGCCTGAGAAAAGCAATTCCTTTTATTACACCATGCATAATTTCTGCATTAGTGTGGCTCCTTCCTGCACAATTTCTGTGCTGAGGAAAAGTGGTTTGGATGAAGTTGCTGTGCCTCGCTTAAATGTCTTTGGCAATGAACGCTTGTCTGTGTTCTAACTTACCTCTTTCTCCTTTGAGCACTTAACTGCTTGAATTTACTTACATGTTCTTCACGTGCCTCAGGTTTCTTCCTCTTTACTTGTGTAGTCCAGATCTGGCCCTCAGCACCAGATCAGACTTGCAGGGCAGTGCATGGCCTGATTCTGGCATATGGAGGCTGGGCAGGGCCCCGGAGCCCAGTCAGGGCACTGGGGCTGGGTAGAGGCAGTGCAAGGCCTCGGGGCCTGATCCCAGCATGTGGGGCTGGATAGAGGTGGTGTGGGGCCCCAATCCCAGCATGTGGGGCCAAGTGGAGGCAGTGCAGGGCCTAATCCTGGTGAACGGGGGTTGATCAGGCCCTGTATCATTCACCTGGCCCACAGAGCCAGAACACTGAGCACCACTGGGTGTAGTCTAACAAAACCGGGTTTGTTTTACATCTAACATATGCTTCACATTAATCACAATAACTTCTGTCACCTCGACACTTGCTCCATCTCTGTCTCACCGACAGTAGCAGCGTTTTTCCTCTTCAGGTATTGTTCTGTTGGACCCAGAAAGCAGCAGCATTACAAGTTCTCTGAATCTTTCATGCTCCTGAGCCACTAGCAGTTTTCCAGCCTATTTTGGGTGCTAGAAAGCCAATAAAATCATCTGCAAATCATCTGCATTACAGCTTGCTGGACTGCTGGTTGTTACTGACATGGTGCCTTGCTTTGTGGACTGTTTGAAGCATGCTGAGAAGGGGCACAGTTGTTTGGAGCACACTGTCATTTCCATCTGCTCCTTGCAAACATACGGTTGTCTAGTAGGGGCCTAAGTGGAAACAAAATTGCTAATTGCTGTGCCAACCAGGGCAGCCTGTTCTGCTGCAGTAGACTGTGGGCTAAGCAATAGGGCTCAGTGTGTCTGCTTGCACTAAGCTTGCTCTTCGCTGGTACCCAGTGGAATCAGGGAGTGAAGCTTTCCTTGTCCCCAGAGTTCAACATAAAAACCTGGCTTGGTAAGCAAAGGACAGGAGGGATACACTTCATTTTTCCAGCCAATGCTGCTCCTGTTTGTTACTAGTACTCTGTATATAGCGTCAGCAGTATGCTGGACTCTCTACAGGCATTCAGAGTGTGTCCCACAGGCTGAAGAGTGGTTTTCTTTCCCTCTGTACATATAGCTCCCCAAACCAATCATCTCTCCTTCTCCCAGCCATCCTGCTCTTCTAATGCGTCTTAAGCTATCTCCAACATTTTTCATCTTTCCATCTCCCTCAATATTTCTCTCCATGGTGCAGAAAGGGGCTTAGAAGACTGACGAATGGCTGTTCTGCCAAGGTTCGAGGCCGTATGATTATGTCTATACCAGTGGAGCTCAACTGTCTGTCCCCTCAGGCCAGATGCATGGCACAGGGCCATCTGCACGGTGGATGAATGGTGCAGGGCTGTCATTTGGCCCACCAGCCTGGAAGTTGGCCAACAGGGGAGTGGTGTCAGTATTAATTGCTGTGACTCCAGAAGCCATGGAAATTAATGCTGCCACTGTTCCCTCATTGCCAAATTTCTGGCCTCAGGGGGAATTCTGCAGATCAGATGACACACTCTTGTGGGCTGGATTTGGGCTGTGGGCTGGAGGTTGAGTACCACTGGTTTATCACTCTGCTCAGTCATGGTACTAAGGAAATAAAGCCCATCCACCCACCCTCTCCTGCTCTTCATAGGTGAAGCCCAAGAAATGAGGCAGTGAGGGCCAGGGGTGACTGGTGTGTCCTGAATCTGGGGTGGGGAGAGGGAGCACACTGTGGACTAGAAGCAGCCAGCCCGGCAAACTGCGGAGCACTGGCCAGAACACAGGTAAAGCTACCTCCACCCCCTGCATGGGGGGGGGGGGG